ATTCAAACAATGGGAGATGGGGGCTTTGGGGGAGAAGGAGTTGTGGACCGATAGTCTTGAACATTGTCTGGACCTACCTCGAATAGATCCTTGCACGTCCCACAAGGATGGTCGTGAACGTCACCATGCTTACAATAATTAAGCGTAACTCAAACTTTCGGATCCATCTTTGGTTGAAGGTGGATGTCCATCCTGGGGCTTTGATGTTTTCAGAACGTGGAGCCAGTATGTGAAAGGATTCGTTTGGGATTCATGCAATGTGGGTTTTATACACCTTTACAACGGTTGCAAGGAAAATGAAATATGTAGGTAAGGGAATCTTGAAACCATCACTGTGTGTCAGCAAGGGAATCTTGAAACCATCACTATGTGCCAGTAATGTGTCAAAGAACCGAATATCTATGTCAGATAATCTTGAAAAAATTTATCGACCCACCGACAATTTTTTAAACCAAAAATTTGAGCACTATTAGTAACTGAACTCTACTAATCCAGTAGTTAGTGATCGAAGAAATAAGATTGAACTCTAGTAAGAACATAGAACCCAAGGCTGTGATAGCAGATTTAAACCCGAATAAGCTGTACGTAAGTCAGATCGAGCATAAACATGTAAACACAAACCCAAATATGGCATTAACAAAAAACAAACAAGTGAATAACGATTGCCTAGCGATTGATATGGCTACCAGCCGTCATTATCGTTGGCTTTTGCTGGTTGGTGGCCTAGCTATGGTGGGTGTACACCGCCAGAGATGATTTGCTGTGCAGCAGACGGAGTTATGGCGTCCCAGTCAATATGTTTGTGGGCATCTGCAGCGAACCGTCGGAATTGCTCAAAACCTTCGTTAAAAGCCACAGACATTGCCTGCCCATGCTTGTCGCCTCCTTTGTGGATGCTCAAAGATTCGTACGTAGCATCGTCCTGGGTCATTTGCAAATCCTCTGCTTTGTGCTTTCTTCTTTGGCCACGAATTTTGTGCTTCTCTTTTCTGTAACGTGCTTTGTTCACTTGGCGCGTCAAATACGCCAACTTCTACTTAGCTTTGACACACTTTTGAGTCCAATAATGGACCAAGGAGGAGTCGTGTTTCAGTTTGTTCTTCATATCATTTATTTCCACAGCAGGATCATCGGAGTCGCCCTCGCTTGCTAAGGAGGTTGGAAGTGGCAGCGGTGGTAGAGGGGACCTTGGATAATCGGGGGCATATTCCCATGACCCATCGGAGTCCCCCCTGATTTGCATTGCCGTCTGAACTGGTTGACATGTTGACAAATCTTCAGTTTCTTCAGATTGGGGGATTTGTTGTATGCACAAAACACAACTCCAAAGAAGAGTCAGGAAGAAAACAAGATGTTGATCTACGGCAATGAGTATCCCATAGCCATACAATACCGTTTATATATGATGTCCTGGAGTATTCCGTAGTTTGTTTTATCTGTTTTTCCCAGCTGTCACATCAGTTTTGTTTTTTTGTTCAGTAATGAGAGTATTTGATTTAGGTTGAATTCAGATTAAAGCCTCGTATTAATCACAGAAAGCATACACATGAATTTTGAATTTTCAACTTTCAATGAGGTGGTAGCATTTGTCGAATTATTATCCCGATTTTTGCAAAGGAAGGGTGAGACAATGGTCACTGACATGCACTTGTGCACCTACCCAAGGTTGATGCGGTCAGGTCCCGTCATGTGTTGTATTTCGTTATTTTCATTACACAGCTGGGGGAAAATTATTGAACACATGGTAATAACAAGGAGAAAAATCGGAAAAAATGCCCCAAAATTGATTCCAGCTCCTTGTGGCATTACACAACTAGGGGAAGCTATAAATCGTCGAAAGTGTTTTTTCAACTCACTTTTGTACTCAATTTCATAAGATGTGATAATACAGAGTGTACACTTCATCTTCGGAATATGGTTTGAACTCGCTTTCGTTTCAATCGTAACATTATGTTTTGCAAACCTTTTCCGTCTATTTCTTTCTTGTTCATTATCTAATTTAAAATAACACAACTATCGGTTACATTTGCTTCGTATCTAATTATTGGGAAAAATTAGTCTTATTTTCTCCTTTCAAATGACACACAGAATATCATTATTGTTATTTCATTGGTCATATATTATATATTTCACACGAATAAACAAACCTCATATTACCATTTTAGGAACAACAACTCCATATAAGAGATCCAATCAGTGCTAAAAACTATCCCATTCCTTTTAGGCATTTTGTAAAGATAAATTAAATATGTTGACAGAAAATAATGGAAACATACAAAAGTACGCATAATAAACCAAAAGCAGTTTCCCATATTTTTCACTCGCTCTTTCTTCACGTCTTACAGCTTGGATACATACAAGATACCATCTGAAGTGTCCAAAGCAAAATGGTTACACCTTCAGGAGCGCACACAAACTTGGAACAAAAGCAGTCAAAATGAACGTTTACGCATTTTTTCCAAACAAACTTACTGAAAATAAC